CCCTGGCAGAAATTCAAATTCTTGGGACTAACTCAGATGTACTGAATCAGAAATTCTGGGAGTGGGGCTCAGCAATCTGTATTATCACAGTTTTTCCAGGTGATCTGATGCACACGAATGGATTGGCTCAGGGCCGGGGAAGGCAAATTCTGTAGGTTAAAGCTATCAATGCCTGCAATGGAGAAGAGTGGAGCTTGCTCCTGCCCTTACTGATTCATTCTTTTTCTTTCTTTCTTTCTTTCTTTCTTTCTTTCTTTCTTTCTTTCTTTCTTTCTTTCTTTCTTTCTTTCTTTCCTTCCTTCCTTCCTTCCTTCCTTCCTTCCTTCCTTCCTTCCTTCCTTCCTTCCTTCCTTCCTTCCTTTCTTTCTTTCTTTCTTTCTTTCTTTCTTTCTTTCTTGATTCTATTTATTTTTGAGAGAGAGAGAGTCAGTGCAATAAGAGGGGGAAGAACAGAGAGAGAGAGAGGGACAAGCAGACTCCACTCTATGCAGGAAGTGTGACTCAGGGCTCCATCCTAGGACCCTGAGATCATGATCTGAGCTGAAACCAATAGTCAGACACTTAACTAACTGAGCCACCTCAGCATCCCCCACTGCCAATTTTCTAATCCAACTTGGTGGATGAACCACAGATGTAAGGGATGTAAAGAACAATACAAGATTCTGACAAGCAGTTTGGGGCAATGTCAGAAGAGACATGGGAAAGACGCTGTCAAATGCTTCCCTGTAAATAAATTCTGTAAGCCCAGCGTCTACCCCCTTCTGGCTACCATCAGTTCCAAGTCCCCTGGAACTCCTGGCCCTTTTTCACCTCTGGTGAATTCTAAGCAAACCACTGCTTTTGAAGATCATGTATAATCTACTGCATTTTTTAAAATGCTCTATGCCTGCTATTATATAGATCATGCTGTTTGATCTTCATAATTCTACAAAGTTTAATTTACTGGGAAATTTGTATGTCAATTTAGAACCTTCTGATAAAGTCCCCAAGTTAACCACTGTTTGAGAGTTGACTGTATGAGGCACTTTTAAAAAAATTTAATTTCAATTTGCTAATATATAGTATAACACCCAGTGTGCATGAGGCACTTTTATGTAAAATTAATTCTAACCCCTACAACTCTGCAAGCTGCCCCAAGATAGCAATATATTCAACTTATGAATATATAAAATGTATTAAAACATATACCATAAATGACTTTAAAATGCAACATTAACTATTTCATGATGTTAAATCTTGCATGGACTTAATATGGTGCTATTTATTACAAAATATGATGCTATTGTGAGAGAGAATGCTTCATTTCCCAGTAATGAGGGTGAAGCAAGAGAATGACAATATATGACTTCAAAAATTCCTGCCCTAAAAGAAGTCTTCGTTGTCTTTCTACAATTCCCTATAATCTCTGAGTGTCACACTTCTATTTCCTCCTGGAAAATCTGACATAACATTCTAAATTAAAACAATCGAACAGAACTTGCAAGTTTCTAAAACATGACATTATTTTATAACTCAAAAGAAGTGGTACCAATAAAATTCCCCCATTCTTGCATTATTTCCTTGTTCTAAGTTCATCAGCTTCTCACTCAATGGGTGGTTTCTGGGGCCTCGGACATCTCAACTACACTGGCCTCTGTGATACATTCATGGCTGAGGCCATTTGCAAAGATCATGGTTTACTGAGTCTGTGGTGTGGTTTTGGTTTGAAGGGAGCCTTAAGTTTTCTGACCACCCATGGGACAGATGGTCTTCCATCAGCATTCTTTGTTAGTGAATAGATTCTCACAGTATTGCACACTCACTAATTGTATGCCCATCCGCTTCATGTGTTCATCGAGGAAGCTGACAAGACCTTCATGGGCATGAAGCCTCCAAGGTGGCATTCACACCTTGATCTACTGGTCATGAAATACTTCTCCCTCAAATTATGAGATAAACCACCTAAATTTATAGGCTAATCTGGAGCATTATCCAGATATCTAAGGTCCAGAACTCCTGAACAAAAGGGCAGAAAATGCAAGTGAGCCGTCCTTGAGAACTGCTCATCATTGTCCTGGCTTTTCCATTAGGTCACAAAATTGCTCTCAAAATAGCTCAGGATCGGGTCTGGGGAGACCTGGGATTTTCAGAACAGTAGGCAAGTAAATACCTCAATTTAAAGTAGTCCTCAGCGTGGCCTCGAGTGATGTTTTAGCTGCTTGAACCTGAAGCACTATTTCCTTCCACAGAAATAAAAGTCTTTCCTGGCAACTCTTTCCAATCAAATTCTGTCTCATCAGCTGAAAACTATCTCAAGAAGGGAAAGCCAGCATATTCAGAGACTTGTAAGATTTGGATGTGTCAGAACCACCACCTTGCCTGTTCTTCCTAATGTTCTCAAACTATCCCTCTCTTGGAATCTCACAAATTGTTATTAATCTGCTAAAAAATTTCCATTTCAAAACTGTGACTTCTTCAAACTCCTCCTCCTCCTCAATCGTGGGCTTCTAAAGAATCCTGGTGCCCGTTTCTAACCTGCTTCTGGTCCTACATCCATATGTACTCACCAGGTTTCCATCAAAATATTTTTATGATGAATCCACTGGCTAACACTTCGAAGTGTAAGTGCTTGACAATCATTAAACAAATATTTTCTCAACTTTGTGTGGCAGAACGTAAAAGGAATGGTTCCAAGTACTTTTACCATTTAGCCAAGTCTTAATCTTTGTCAAATTGCCTGAACACTTCAGAGTTTACATTTAACTAATTGATGAACAGCTTCATTTTCCTTTGGCATTTTCCACTGTTTGGCTTCTTTCCATAGATCTTTAGTACAGGTTTGAAACTGGTATAAACATGCACTCCTGGCCCATGCATTTCTAGAACTTTAGCAGAAAGGTTTGAAATTTGTTTTATAGTTTTTCCTTCTATTTTGTTCTGCCCGGGTTTTGTGGTGTATTCAGCAAAACAGAAGACCTAATCAATTTTTCAAAAAGGCAAGAACAAAGAAAGTAAAATAGGACCTGAGGGAGATGAGAATGAAGAAAGAAGTTAAGGAGTATAAACTTTCACACTTATGCTCTGACTCAAGAAATAAAATTCGAAGAATACAGTTCAACAGCGTGACCACCTGCCTGTTTCAAATGTTTTCAAAGTCACAGAAAATTCAAGTCAATGTGAAGATGTTCTGTTGACACTGTGACAACTTAGGGTCCTTGCCCCATGGCAGTTCGCCTGCCACAGCTGGAGGTTCAGAGTAAGAGCCCATAATTGTTTGGAAGACCAAATACAGAAAAGTGTCATAAACAAAAAAAGGGGATCTGTCTGGAGTGACAGAGCTGGTTCAACATAAACCTCTTAAATAACCTTAACAACACTACTAGACATACGAAACACACACCAAGACCAATGTGACTCCTAGGTTTTGAGAATCAGCCATACGCTATATGCGGCGCACAGCTAAGGTACTAATGTTTTCCACAGATAGAGATATCATGGCTTCCCAAACCCATTTCCAAGTGTAGATGTAGTAAGTCTAGCCCATTACCCGAAACCACTTATATTAGACGTTGGGCCGCTTTTCAATAGATTCTGGTTAGTTTTGACTCTTAACTTCCAGGTACCAGGTCTTCAGTAAGATGGATTTCTGGACGAAAGAACCAGGGAAATGCTGTATAGACTGTTGTAAGCTGATTGTTAATGTGCTAGAATAAATGTTCATATATCAAATATTTGGCAAATCAAGCAGACAATGTGCAAACAAAAGCAAGTCACGCTTTTTCATGTATATATCTAATACACAGTATTTATGTGAGTTGATAACATTGTCCTTTGGTATGTTTCATGTGTGAATATGTACCTGTACCCGAAGCTTCTGAAAGATTTGGTCTGCCTTGCAGATCTCCTGGGGTCTCAAAAGGCAGAGGCTTTGTTGTCTCTAAGAGAAAGTACCCAAAGCAACTGATAAAGGGCCCCCACTGATGGGACAACATTAAGGGTGTCTTGAGAACAGACCCCCTCAAAATATTTGCTTAATGCTCTTTCCCCTGCATTTGGATCAGCTGAGAACTGTTGAGTTAAAGAAGTTATACAAGCACGGCTTTTCCTATTCTAGTGTTATGCACCAGTGAGTTCTTAATTCTTTATGGCTTATTAGTACTTTAAAAAAAAAAAAAAAAACCCAGTTTGCTGCCAAAACCTGGCTCTGGAATCAGATAGGGGTGGCAGTGGGACTTGCAATCACCAGATAATAGAAAATCTCCATTGTCTGGAGTGTAGAGCTGTTGGGACTTTTGCTTTCATATTCATTGCATGACAATAAGAGCTTTCCATATGTGAGGATGACAACCAACTATGTTTGCACAAGTACATAATCATTACAGAGAAGGGAAAATGCACAAAAATCCAGGCTAACAAAGTAAATGAAAAAAAAAAAAACTTCCTTATTGCATATTAATCCTTTCCTATTCTCCATTACATATATGAAAGTTCCCAACTGGAGAGTCACCTATTCTTAAAACCCAGGCAGAAAGACGCTGGTCTTAGATTGCCCTTCCATCCCCCCAACCCCAGTGGCTGACAAACCATTCTGACAAGGTGGCTTACTGATGTGAGATTTTTCTTAGAGACCTGGGGCTTCCTTTTGAAATGCAAACATGACAATGACTGTTCCATTAAGAAATCCACACAGAGCCTGTTACTTGCGTAAGGGGGAAACATTTCCTTTGGGTCTAAATCAAGTTAATAAATTTAAGATACCTGAGAGAGAGGGTGCACTGGACTTTTGGCAGAAGTCCAGAACTAAGAGAGTTAATCCATTATTTTACTGTGTTTCTTTATGAGAAAAAACAGTTTGCTGCCAACTCAGCTCAGGAGTCAGATGGGAAGTGTGGAGGGAGCAAGTTATAGCTCATCGAGAAAGTAAACATGATCTTAGGAGAAGTCTGCTCATGTGTGAGTTCCTTTCAACCAGAGCAAGGGGCCTAGAGGAGGACAGTGGAGGTGGCCTCTGCTGTTGTTACCTGGGTAGAGGTCAGGCCCCGGCCCGGGGGAGCGCCCCACTGCCCCATCAGCAGCAGCATCGCGTGGGGAGGTGGCCGACTGCAGGGGCTGCACACTGAGGCAGTTTGTGAGCAGGTCAGGATGGAGCTCTGCACTGGACCGCAACTAAGAAAAGGAGAAAACAGACGATACATGAGAAAGGAAAGCTGTCCCTTGGAGTACTTCCCTGGGGAAAGACATCATGCCCTAAGGTTCCATGCAATTCAATTCACAAGTATTTACTAAGCAACAACTGGTGGGTCAGGCATTGGGCTTAACAGAGAGTCAATAAGATGGTGATTTCTCCAATCCTGGTAACACCTGGCAGGTGATTCCAGAAAACGCAGCTCGAGGCAGATTTGACTTTGGGCTTTGATGTTTCTACTTCTGGGAACCCAGCTTCCTATTATACTTCCTTTTATTTGCTCTATATCTTATCAGAAGTTGTAGTGATAACAAAAACAAACTCAAGTACATTTGGTCCAGATTGGAAGGTGCTTTTAAAATACAGAGATACGATCAGGAAAGTATCTTGGAGATAACAGAAATATCCATTGTGATCTGGTGCCTATAGATTGTACATGAGGGGAAAATAATACATACGTTAAACTTTTAAATATTATGGAGCATGATTAAAAGCAAAATGTGTCATTAGCAGTCAAAAAAACCCAACAGTAAGTTTCATGAAAAAAAAACAACCCAACTTAATTTAGATCTTCATCTTATCACAATAAGAAAATAATTCTTTATGTTAGCTACATATAAAAAAAATCAAGCCCCAAAAGTGTAAGAATAAAGAATACACAAAAAGTTATCTCCTTATGAAAAAGAATTCTGAGTGGAATTTGAATGGGGAAAGATCACAATGGGAGGTTTAGTTACAGAAAAGTACATAAAGCTTCTGCTTCTTACACAATATCTTAAAAATACAGAACATTATTTGTGGCAGATACAGCAAATAGTTAGCATCTTCAGTGTTTACAGAGAACATATGAATTGATTTTGCTTTTCTCAAGACAAAACTAAGCCTTTATACAGGGCTGCAGTATACTGACTCACCTGACAAGTATTTATGGAGCGTCAGATGCTCCTCTGGGCTCTAGGAATACGCGGTTGTACAGAACTTCTAGCCTAGAGGGGAAGCAGACAGGGAATACCTCCAACACTCGGTGTCAGCGATGGCTAATACTGTGGGGAAGAGGGATGCAGAGAAGAGAGATGGTGCAAACAGGGCAGAAAGTGACCTCAGACAGAGGGCCTGGGGAAGCCTCTTGGAGTGGGCTCTGAAAAGAGCCTGGAAATGGCTGTTCTGTTCATTAGAACCAGGAAATGGCCTGCCAGATCACTGAGGCTCTTATACGTTCTGTAGTCCAGAAATTACCTGCTGACATGCTGACAGAGGTGGGACTGCCTCACTGTACCACCCTCAATGTGAAGAATAACATTTTAAAAAGGAGAAATGGAAAAATGAGAATAAACGATGTTCAGCACACTTGTGAGGAAATGTAATATCAAAACTTTTTTAAAAACTTATCAAACTAACAAAACCTTTAAGGAAAAAAAATGGTGGTAGTCAAGGTGCAGTGAGAGAGGCATTCATACAAGTTTCTGGTGGAAGTATATGCGGCCACAAACTTTCTAGAATGTATCTGGGAATACTTTCTCAAGATCAATAACTGAAGTCATTTGATCTGAGAATCTGTCTTAAGGAAATGGCCAGAGAGGTGAAGGAAGATTTGTACCTGATGTTCTAATAATACAGATCCATAATTAGGGAATGTTAAATGTCCCCAACTAGGGCTAATAAATGATCTTAAATCAATTTGATGGAATATTATGCAACCGTTAAACTGAAGTCCATGAAGATAACAGCAGAACACAAAATTATATACACAAAATGATTATTATGTAAAACAGACAAAATACTGTAAGAATGTATTATAAAATCCAATATTAAAACTGATTTTTCCCCCAGCTGCAATATTATTAATTCATTTTCTTTGGGTTTGTTTTTTTAAATCCGTTCCTCTGCCTTCAAAATCTTCTACATCTCAATGATGCATTGGAGCTGGCTTACACCAATCCCAGAGTGCAGTTTGTGTGTATCATTCCCAAATTTTCCATGCAATGATGTCTAAATGAAAGCTTGAAATTGGTCATGATGAGAATATTTACATCATGGAAATTGGCAAATGCTACAAACTGGGCCTTTTTCTGTGGAGAGCCAGTTGTTAACTGCTAGTAGCACACTACGAACTGTGTGACTTTAACTGTGACCCATACCTTCATCAGAAAGAAAATAAGAAACACCCACAAAACATCGGTAAGTTACTACTCTGTAACTTTAGCATTTTTTGGACCTCAACAAGCTTCATAAAGCAACGAATATATATCCAGATCTTAGTCCAAGAATATGAAAATGGCATAGTGACCCTAAGTATAGAGAAAAGGCATTTAACACATATAGTGAACCAGACATAATTATATTATAATCTCCTCAGCTTTGCGACATTGCAATCTCTGACCAAGACTGTCTGAATTAATGGACCCTCTCAGGGCTTTTGGAAGGTATGTTTGTTATTTTGGTACTAACCTAACACATGCCGCGTAAGAAAAACTGGAAAAAAATCAAGGCTTAGAATGAGTTCTGGTGATCACTTTTAATTTATTTTCATCGTTACAATGTGATCTGGGGCCCATATGTTCTACCAAGCTTAGACATGAATGTCTCTCTGCTTTCTATTACTCTAGGGTTTTACAGTTATCAGTACCGATGTGGTCTTTCCAAGGAATTTTATGGCCACGGACACTCCCAGAGTCAAAGGCAGGCAAACTCTTCTTAGCTTCAACAAATATTCATGGTTCCTAAGAGTGTGATTCCAAACAACTTTGTGGGGAGTGTTAATTTGGTTTTCTCTGGGATTAGGCATGGTTCTAGAAAGCGCTTCTTAAATCAAACAAGCCTTGAGGAACTTATGCATAACTTCCAAAGGCAGGCCATATGCACAGAAATGCGTAATAATGTGTAAGTTTAGTATTATCCTCTCCCTCCCAGATTATTAGACCAAGAAAGGGCCTTCCAGATCATTTAAGGCTCTTAAACATTCTCCTGTCCAGGAATTATCTAAAAGGGTGAGGCAGAAGGATATAGCAGGATCTCCTGGGAGAGATGTCCTTCCATATAATAGTTTCATACTGGGAGTAAGAAACCCAACTATTTATATAAAACAAATTACATAATGTATGTTTCAACATCCTCTTAGCTGCTAGGAATGTAAAGAAGATGGAAAGAAATTTTCCAATGGGGGATGATCTCTAACTATGGTTCTCCAATCTGGGCATCATCAGAATCACCTGTGGGCACTGCTGCAGAGCTGCTGACTCATTAGGTCTGGGGTGTATTTTTAATAAGTTCCAGGTGATGAAAGTGTCAGAGCCACTGGTCTCTACGAATCCTGATGAGGGCTGAGATCTTTCTGGTTATGGGAACAGGAAATGAATTGTAGAAATAAGAAATTGTAAAAACCAAATTGTCTTTAAGACATGAACCTCACATAACCAGGTCTTATTATGTCTCCTTTCAGATCTCATAACAAGAAATGGTTACATGAGATTCGTGTCTTAAAAACAATTTGGATTTCTGTCTTCTTTCAGGGGAATAAAAAGAGTTTGAAAAATTTTTCAATGCCATCTAATCACTCACCCTTAGGAGATAGAAAAGAATCTGCCCTTTATGAAAACATTACTGGTCTTTACAGAAAGAAGTGACATTTGAACCCACTAATCATCAATTCATCTATTTTAAAGGGCTGGCTGCTGTGTCACACAACGCCAGGGACCCTGATATACATGCATGGTGAATGGTGCCCCTGGAGTGTTCAATTCTGCTGTCCTAACCAAACCCCATTAGTTCCAGAGTAGCACTGCCTTTCTTTATCCTCATTCATTCACTGAAAAAATATTTCTTGGGCCTCAACCATATGCCAGGCACTGTTCTAGTGGCTTGACATACATCAGCCATCAGAGCAGATGAAGATTCACTCTGAGAAGCTCACATTCTAGGGGCAGTGAACAGCAAACAATCTAACCAGATAAGCAAATTTCACAGAAGGCGGTCATTGCTATAGAAAATAGAGAAAGAGAAAGGGTAGCTGGATTCGGAATGCTGGGGAGAACCGTGGCCTTATTGGAAAGATATATTCGAGTGAAGATTAGAAGGAGTTGGGGGAATTAGCTAAGTGTATATCAAGGGGAAGAGAGTTCTAGAAGGAGGGAAGTACATAGAGCCCTGTCTAGCTACCCACAAACATTCCATTTATCATGGCTGCTCACTCCTCCTGCAGGAATGGCCTTTCTTCTGCCAATGTTGCTTCTCCAAGACCCAGTTTTTGGCTTGCCTCCTGAGTGAAACCCTTTCTGACCAGGCTGGCCCAATCTGTGGTGTAGGGACTGCTGCAGAATCTCCTTTCAGCAATCCTGTGATTGGACCTGTGTTTGGGGCTTTGTTTCTTGTTTGGAGTTTTGTTTTTTTGTTTTTTTTTTTAAATTAAATTTTTTTTTTTTTTTATGATAGTCACACACACACATACACAGAGGCAGAGGCATAGGCAGAGGGAGAAGCAAGCTCCATACACCGGGTGGGATTCGATCCCGGGTCTCCAGGATCGCGCCCTGGGCCAAAGGGAGGCGCCAAACGCTGCGCCACCCAGGGATCCCCTTGTTTGGAGTTTTGTCTGCACAATTGTTATCAAGCCCATGAGGACCTGGCTGACCAAATGCCCTCTGAACTTTTCAAACTCCGCAGCCTCTGGCAGGGTGGGGCCAGCATAGGAGTAAACCACTCAGCACCCAGATTAGTAAGAGTGAGACACAATGCTTTACCTGATAGAGTTTACAATCTCTAGCGTATGTGGATGTGTTGAAAAACTACAATGTAGCCATGTTTTAATTACCCCTGCTGCTGGAGATTTTGAAAAAATACAGATTGGAACTATAGCTGAAAGGCCGCTGCTGTTCTACCCAGATCCCCTCCGATCCCTTCCGTTAGCTCCAACACCCTCGCCCAGCCTTGGTGTGCCCATCCCCTGGCTTCTGGGTCCTTGATGGCAAATGGCAGGCAGACTACT